CCACTCGAAATGGAAGTAAGCTCGACATTCATATCTTCGGTCCACTTTGGTTGCTTGGCGATCCTAAGGACCAATGACCACTGGACAGCTATCAGCATTAGTAACTCGCGTAACCGTTGCGAGTGCTACCTGTTGACTCGACTACTCGTTAACTTGCAGTCGGGCGCAAGTTTGCTCGTCAGATTGATGACATTTCACTGGTTCTGGAAACACCTGAGCTCTCTTGACGAAGCCCTCTTACCTAAAGAAAATAATATCTTCAAAATAGTCGCCATAGTTGTTAATTATTGGAGCAAGGTTGCCCATTTAAAGTATTGATGTCTCGCGGTTCTTTCACTCAAGTCATTCTTATAATTAAATGAATAGTCCTGTTGAAATGCCCCAAGCAGGCACCTATAAATGAGAATAAGTACATCTGAAACACAATCGGTTTCAATTTGGCATGCCATCTGCACAAAATCAGTCAGTGATATGGCGCTGATCATCAAATTGATTCTTGAAACCCGCCAGGTCTGTTTGAACAACAGCTGTAGTCATAGGAACCGCAGCCTAAAGGCCTAGTCAATTCGACTGGCATGAAGGCCAGGCTGTTTTTCGATGCTTTGATCCATTGTTTTTGCAACATTTTGACACCTCGCCTGGCACAGCCCACATTCAGATCAGATCGCAGCTAGCCTGCTCAGTAAGTAGATCACGAGATCGCCGGGTCACTCAATGCCCCTAGCAGGTCTGAGCACAGCTTGGCCTGGCATTCGACCACCCGGTTTCCCACTTTGCCTATGACATTCCAACGTTTGAAATGCCAGAATTGCAGCTTCTCTTGGGCGTATTCGTGCTCTGAGGTCCTTGGACGATCGGCCTACGTTCGAGGGGCTTCTGAGGGTGATCAGGCTGTATTCGGTATACTGATTAGCTATACAGTCGTCGTGGCCAGCAGTTGAGATGGTCTGAGTTGGTATCGACAGGTCAGTGATTTCACATATTGTCGCCTTTTTAGGCCAACTATCCGCAAACACCCGAAAGCCACATTCCAGAGGGCACAAAATTTCACTCACCGAGGCATTTTTCATTCTTCTGCCTCATTTCCCATACTCACCCTTATGTGTGTAGATAATTACCGCCGAAGTCAAGGATGTGTCCGACGAGCTGACGCGCTTTTGGAACAACTCCGACTACGACGGCCGACTGCCCAGTTTCATGGATTCCAAGGCCATCGTTGCCTCTAGCATAGACGAGATTCGCATCCACGCTGTCGTAGGACCAGGTGATGCGCATTTTGAGGCGAGTCTTCATATCATCGGTCCGTTGTCCGCTTCCCAGCTTACCCCGGCCAATGGTGATGATGGTGATGATGCTGCAGTCTCTTTCCGCCTCCTCGACTCTGATATAAGTCGGCTTGACTTCTACGAAGCCAAGGTTGCCTGCGTTCCATCAGAGGTCGGGCAGTGGGCGGTACTGCGTCGCTATTGTGTCTGTTGACCTCGCCCTCGTCTGCAAACGTTTGCATCTAGAATGTTTTTCACCTCCCTTGAGTGCGGTCCAAGAAGTTTTTTCATATTTTTTACTCAGCTCACACTCACGGGAGGCCAGTTTAGCGTCAACCTCTCCTTTTGCATTTAGTTCACTTCGGTCCTATCCATTCTCTTATCCTCGTGAGACTTCTCGCCTCCTTTATTTTGCTATCGTACATTTTTATATTTTCGATGCATCGTACTACCTCCCTCCCCCCATAATTCATCCGATTTATCATGCATAGAATTAACCGTGTATTCCAATTGATATTTTGATTCAGCTGCAAATATCATCAAAAATACCCACATACATGCACACAACCTGCCGTCAACTTGTGATGATAAATTTGCCCGGTTTTTAGGGCACTTATGAATGGTACCGTTAGGCACCAAACGGGTAAGAGCAAGCATTCCTTGCAGTAGCCCCTTTGCAACGGAATTATTGGGCTTCCTTTGCAATGTAAAGCCCCACTGTGCCAGGTTTCATCACTACTCAATGCGATGGTGCGAAACGCCTTTTAACACGTGCAATGTGACGTGCTTTTTTAATCCCATCTGCTTTTAAACTTCCTGATTTCAATATATTTGCAGGTCCAAGGGGTTACCTGATGCCTCATCATACTCAAGAGTTTGCATTGCTGCCTAAAGACTAAGCTAATCCGGAGGAAGGTTTATCCTTCTTTTCTCACCCTCGTAACCACTGCCTCTTCGCGAACGGCTGCTCTATCCTGAGATGGTGTCCCTAAAATGAAAGGTTGCCTAGCATCATCGGGTTTGGGATTATTCCCATATCCTTATTCAGTTCAGTGTCATTTGTTATCATTGTGGTGGCCTAAACTAGCAGTAAGTCCGTCTTGGCAAAGCATCTCGGGATAAGCTGGAAAACCATTATGAATGGAACTTTGCGCCTATTTTGATTTCTTTTGTGATAGGACGATTTCTTTTGTCGTATTTCTCAAACTCGAACATCTTAGCCTCAGATATTCTCCTTGCAATTGCTTTGTCTTGCTACATACAGCCTCAACGGAAATTCAGAGGCTACCCTCTATCAGCTACCTCGGTTTTCAATAGACTCACCCTACAGGGCGTCAGAGATAAATTCAGTCTCATTTCAGCATAATGGTCATCTAGTCGGTATAAATGCATGCAGGCCTGCACGGGGCCATAAAGGGAAGAGTTTACCTCAAGCTTGGATTAACAAAAAGCCTTGCGCCAGGGTTACACGGGCTCGATTTGCCAAGGATCTTTTTCTTCAATAAAGTAAGCCAAAACTCGGACCTCCGAACCCCAGATTACATTTCGTGCAATAGCGCCTTAAGCTAAACAGAACCAGAACCCTCATTGGGACTGAGTGAGGTTTGGCGGTGCAAAAGATGGACTAGTGAAACTGCTACATTGTGAAAACAGACTATTGAGCTTGGTTTGCGAATGGTTGATTGGTGAACCCATCCTAGATTTCAGGCGAGACAAAATACACAATTCAAACAAATATTTTTGATGAATAAGACATAATTCCATGATAATCATTCGCGATAGCATACATCCAAGGCGCGGAAATACGTAAATATTTACCCGTGCCACTGATAGAGATTGGTGAAAAATACAGTAGCGAATTTCCAGTTCCGCAAATAATCAAATCAAAGAAAGTGTATAAGAGTAGCCGAGGGAGAGAATTTACAAGGGACAAGAGAAGCAAATAAAAGCCATTGTATGTCGAAGCGAATGCCTCTTGGTATGTTCTATCATTGTGCGCATGTGCATATGTGCTTGCGGGCTCACGATAAGACATTTATTTTCAGAAATCTTACGTACAATTCGCAGAGACGGTTCGGTTCACATTAACCCTATGAAGCACTCTGCACAGCAAAAATGCTAGTGACTAAGAGGCAATAAAGGGAGCGGGGATGATGTGGCGATGAAACGCCACCAGAAGAGTTGTCTAGATGCGGCGATAACGTTTTTTCTCTTGGAGGGAATAGGGTGTTCGAGATGGCGGGAAATGTACACGTGAAATTGTAACATTGGGGCAAATGATAGAAAAAATCAGCTTCTCATAGTGTTATGTCGTGCAACGCACCTATGCATCTGAAGTGTAAGTAAATGAACATGGTTTAAGACAATTCAAATAAGATCGCCTCTTGAAGTAAAAGGCAATTTAGAAGAAAAACTCGGGCCTTGGGTACGAGAACAAGTGTCGCGCAACCAAGGATCTCCAACGTGAGTATAATTGAGGACGAATCGAAAAAACTCTCCAGAATATTCACGATTGCGGCTCCAATCCAAGTCGAATTTCCTTCAATTTGGAATACATCCATTTAGACGAAGTTCTGAAGAGATATCTAAAAAAGGAATTGAAATAAAAAATGCAGAGGGTAGGAAAAAAACTGGTAGTTGGGGTGTGCAAATTAATCAGATCCAAAGCCCATCATTTAAGACACTGCCCTAATCGCTACATGACCCTAGCTCTATATTATGTATCCAAATAATTTTGGCGATACAAGGTGACACGCTTGTATACCCAAATAGCATTGCCTATTCAATGACATACCTCATCCTACTTTCATGTAAGTAAGATCTCCATTTGGCACAAATAAGACGTACACAACGGATTACTATTTTAAACAGTCGCTTGGAGATAATAAAGGAATTCGTGATATAGAAATAAAGAAATGTTCTTCATGAAATTTCATAGGAATCTTGACCCCCGAAAAGAGCCAGACATCAAGCTAAGAAATAGAGGGGTAAAACTGAGCGTAACTTGCAATTATTTTTGTCAAAATGTAACCTGATAAAACGTAGGCTGAATGAAGAAGGAAAGCCGCCCAAATGATTAGAGGGATTAAACAGTCTCTTGGGTAAGCAAAATTAAGTCGTTAAAAGATTCCAGTTAACACTAAATCAAAAAGACAAAATGAAATGTGGGCTAGAGCCAGTTAGTAGTTTTAACTCAGTATTAACTTAAAGTTTTTGGAAGAACGAGGTCCAGCTCTGACCATGCCTGTCATGACGAACGAAAGGTCAGCTAGTTTCCATCTGAAACAAGAAAGGATTTCTCGCGGACTGTGTCAATCTTGACGTCGAAGTAAAGCCAAATGGATGAAGAACGAAAGGAAAACTAAGCTTACGTCAGCTGACCAGATAAATCGCATTACCTACACTGCCGAGAAAAAAGGATAAACAAGGTGACAAATATGGATCAGCCAGATATCACTCAACTATCCCAAGCTGGCTGCTTTTCCACTAAATGATAATTAATTAGTCAAAAAAATGCAAAAGGGGCAGCTTAAACTAGGCGGCTATTTGTGCGAATTTACACTACTTTATTGACGATAGCATTCCTTCTTCTTACCTTAAAAGAGAAGATAGGAGTAAAAAGGAAGAACACTAAAAACTAACTGGTTCATATCATCTGCATCTGTCCTGTCTGACCCGATTGCGACTGACTACCATCAGAGGCAGAAGCCTCTCCAACTGATGTCAGAGTTACCTCAAGCCCGTTCGACTGAGGCCTCATCAGACCCGATTCTACCAAACAAGCTGCCCCACCTGCACCAGAGACTGTAGTGATACTACCAGTCGCAGAAGATACCAAATCGAGTCCAGCCATATTTAGTCCTACAGCCACATCAGAGGCCGTGGACATAGCCACCGTCGAGGCAAGATGTTGAGTAGTATGGAGGCCATTGTCATCTTCTTGCTTTGTGACCTTGAGACCAACGAGGGGGTCGTCGGATGAGGATGAGGAAGGGGCAGTGACAAGCAAAACACTGCCGCCTGGTCCGGTGTCAACAAGGGTTCCGCCAGCAGTAGTAGCAGCAACGACTAGGCTAGGGTTGACGGATACAGCGATATCAGACTCATTGATGTTATTAGATGTAGTAACCACAACACCATGCATGGAATTGTCCTCGGAGCCCGTGGTTAAAATTTGTGTGGTGAGACCGGTAGTAGAGTCTACAGCAGTCAAATCTCTGCCGGCAGATGAGTGGCCATTGCCGTTTCCGCAGCCGCCAGCTCCAGCAGCAGCGGCGGCAGTCGAAGATCCGATGACAGTGAGAGGGCCATTGCAGTGGTTGACTG